GAGGCAGGGGAGGACAGGGGCAGAAGGGCGTTCGGGGCGGGGGTGGGCGGGGCCGGCTGAGAGGGGCTTGGGGCTTATGTCAGGAGCTCTGGGACGCCGGCAGCGTCGGAGGCAGGGGGAGACACGGCCTCCTTTCCACCTTTTCAAGCCTCTCTGGCTGGTGTGTGGGGAGCAGAGCGGAGCCAGCCCCGGGCAGCTCGAGCAACCGCCTCACCAGAAACCAGCGTCTTGTGTTTCACTTGGTGCCCCGCCCCGGCCTTCCGAAGGGCCGGTCTGGAGGGGAGCCCAGGCCCTCTGATCATCGGCGCCCGGGCCAGCCCGGCCCCCGAGGACAGCAGGAGGCCTGGCCGGCCATCGGCACACCCTTCTGCAGGGCGCTGTGCGGCCGGTGACCCCCGGCCGGCTTGATAAATGGCAAGAAACAGGCAGCGGGGAAAGAAATCAATAGGCGAACGCTTCCCAGCAAACAGCTCCAATTAACACGGGCATCTGGGCTCAGACCGACTGCAGCGAGCACGCATCAGGGGTGAGCCTGGCGGGACGCCGCTCTGGGAGGCCGTGCGCTCCTCCCGCCAAGGCCAGGCAGGTCCCCTGGTGGCTCCCCCCATGGGGGAACCCCCTCTTTGGAGGGAGCAGGTGTCCCAGCCCCCCTTGTGGGGACCCAAGGGCCCTGTTGGGACTCCTGCAGCCGCCAGGCCAGCAGGAGGCGGGAGGGGCGAGGCGGTCAGCGCCATACCTTCCTGCTTCTCGGTCGAGGGCCTGCTGGCGTCCAGCGACGACCGGGCCAGGCTCCCCAGCGGGCTCCCCGAGACGATGCGGACCCGCTCGTTGCTGTTCATCCTTTTGTACTTGTTCTCGGACCTGCTGACGAACTGGACGACAGAGGGTGGGGCCTTTGCTTCTAACCAGACCAAGCTGCCTCAACCCGGGCACGGGCAGACCTCTGCTTGGACCCCAGCTCTGCTCCTGGGGGCCAGGGTCAGTCACCTCCCCCTGTAAAAATGGGAGATGTCCAGCGGGCCGAGAGGGGACGTCATTGTAGGTGAGCAAACAAACAGACGCCCACTCCCTCCTCCCTAACCAGGCACGAAGCCTGCCGAGGGCTGGGGTGCGAGAGGCCCTCTGGCAATCCCCAGTGCCTTTTGGGGAGGCGCGGGGGGGAGGTCCCTGGCAAGGAGCCCCGCCGGCAGGATGGCCCACGGACCGCCCGCCTGGGGGGCCTGTGCAGGATGGCTCCACCTCCCACGACACGGCTCTCTACAACCCCTCCCTTGGTATCCCCCAGTCCTCCCAGTACAACTCAGAGTTGAGCCCTGGAGGGTGGAAAGGGATGCCCCAGTGCTGGACACAGAATCCGAGTTCCCACCACATTCCCTGGGCTACTCTGAGTCTCTCCACACCCTCCTTCTGCAGGGAGGAAAACCCAGGGAGCCGAGGTCTCGGCCTGGCTCTGTGGTCAACTGGTCCTTGGGTGAGCCACCCGGAGACGCTCAAGGTTGCCAAGTCTCGCGCGACACGAAGGCAGTAACGTGTGTTCCCGCGTGGCCCTGCCTTCAGGAGGAGCTCAGATTCGCTAGGGTTCCCTTCCACCTCCGTATCTTTCTGGCACCTGTCTGCGTCTACCTGGTTTCTGGGCCATGCCGTGAACCACTCCTCTGGGTTTCCTACGTCCCAACAGCAGGATGGCTCAGTGGAGTGTGGCACACCAACTCCACGGGGGCCCGATTAGCAAAGTACCAACACAGAAACGTCCTCGAGGGACCGCACCTTAACGTGACTCACTTAGCTCTGCACAGAATGCTTACTGCATTTATGTGAAATTTCTTCCGAAGACAGCACCTACTAGGCTAAGCAGTGTTCCTTATATAACAGTTCATGCAAAGTAAAAAAAACTCATTATAGAATTAAGTACACGCGATAAATTTTTTCTGGTCCCAAAGAGCTACGATGTGTCCGTGGTCAGATAAGATTTAAAGAATCTGTACGCTTTCTCTTTTCTCCTCGGCTGCCAGGATGCTCAGAGATACGTTTAACGCTCAGTCTGAGGGACTACACTGACCCGGACACTTGCGACGTTTGTTTTCTTCTCCTGATACACCGTTTCTGATTTTTTTCTAATAGCTAACTTGTTTAAATTCTTTTAGCCATAGGTCTTCAAGTCTTTTACGAAAGTGGGACTGCTTCCAACAGGTGTACAGACTGTCTCCCGACCTGTCACCGTGAGGATCAAACGGGACGGGAGGTGGGAGGTGCTGTGAAAAGTTGCAGGTGGTGCACAAACACCAAGCACCGATATTCTGAAAGAGTCTTCTCTTCCCAGCAGCGGCAGGGGGGAGCCCCGGCAAAACGTGACCGCAAAGTCAGTCGGCGCTCTGGACAACTTTACCTGTAGGAGTTGGCCGAAAAGGAAACTTGCCCGAGAGAGGCGGGGACTGACCCGGGGGTCACTGGTGGAAACCGGCTCTTCAGGCTGCAGGGTGTTCTGAAATCAGGTATCAATCGGTCAGGTGTGCTGGGCTCGGCAGGACGCGTGAGCCCAGGAAGGCTGCCGAGAACCAGAGACACGTCCTCAAGCCCCCTCTGTGCCAGACGTGGAATCGAAGCATTCCAGACGGGGAACGAGCTTGGAGGGTAAGAGGAGCCCCGAGACTCGTTCCGGCAGAGGCCAGAGACACAGAGGAAACGCTGTCCTGCCACCCAGCTTGGGGGGGGTCTCTGAGGGCGGGGCCCCTTCTGGGGGGACCGTCCCATTCCCGAGGAACCAAGTCCCTGATGACATCAGCGGCTACCATTCGTGAGCCAGCCGGAAACGAGCCTGGGGGCTGGTGCGAGGCTGGCAGGGCTGTGGGGTGCCTACCCGGAGCGCCCTCAGGGTGTGGTGCGTGGGGTCCGCCTCCTCTCGGCTGCCCCTGTGCATCAGGCGCTGCAGCTTGACCAGGAGGAGCTGCTGGGCTCTGGGGAGACGGGAGGGGAGGGCAGACCCTCAGGGCAGGGCCTGGGGAAGCCGGCGCCAGCCTGCCCCTGTGCCTCCCAGCAGGGTTGGGGGCGGAGGAGGGGGTGCTCCCCCAGGGAGGGCATGAAACCCGGCCGCTGGTCTCGAATCCTGCAGCCAGTGCTGGCTGTGGCAAAGTCACTCCCCTGAGCCTCGGTTTCCTCATCTGTAGACCCGGGCTGCTGATGCTGACCTCACGGGGCCGGCCTGAGCGGAACGCGCTTCCCGGGAGCCTGTGCGCCTAGCCAGAGGAAGGCTGACGCCCCACTGCTACGTGATTACGGAAGGACGTCAGGGAGGTGGCCCGCGGACAAGCAGTGAGCAGCAAAGGGGCGTAAAACCGAGAGCCCGGTTTTCTACAGATGACTGGGAGAGGTGCCCCGGGCATTAGGGAAGCAACAGGGTTTAAGGGAGCAACATCCCTGGGGAGGCAGGGGAGGCTTCCAGGAGGAGGAGGAAACAGGCGGGCCTCAGTGGCCACGGGCGGAGTCCCCCTGGGGGCCCCTCTGCCGGGCAGTAGCCCCCCGCCCTGGCGCCGGCCCGGGCCTCACCGGCTGTAGCTGGGTATGGTGCCCACGTCGAGGTCATGGTCCGTGAAAGGGTCGACCCTCGCGCACAGCCACTCGTGCCTGTCCTGGTACATGGTGTCCCGGACGTGCACGATGTCGTCGCACTTGAGCGACATGGTGCAGGCGTCCAGCTGGCTGGAGATGTTCAGGTTCAGCCGGACGTAGAACGAGTCCCCGGACGTGACCAGGCCCTCCTCCATGTCCTTCAGCAGCTTCCGGTACCCTGTGGGGGCACACGAGGCGGAGGGGATGCGGCCTGCGGTCGCGGGGGCCTCCCGCCACCAAGCGCCTCGGGGCGCAAATCCACCCGTCGCTGCCCACAGAGGACACGCCCCTATGGTGCGTCCCCCTCAGAGCTGCGGGGACTCCCCGCGATGAGCGAGGTGTCCTTCGTGGCTTTCTCTCTTTGTCTTGGCTCAGAGCTAGGTTTTGTGCTAGGGCGCAAACAACCCGGGGTCTCCGCTACCGCGAACGAATCCGGGGTCTCCGCTACTGCGCACGGATCTGGGGTCTCCTATAGAGTGAACTAATCGCAGGTTTCTGCTACAACGAA